ACCAGGGCACCATCAAAACATGACCGAGACACCGTCGCAACATGATTTGGGACACCACAACAACATAACCGGGACACCATCACAAGGTGACCAAGACACCAGCATGACATGACGGGAAAACCATCACAAGATGACCGGGACACTATCACAACATGACCGGGACACCGTCACATGACCCGGACACCATCAAAACATAACCGGCACACCGCCAAAACATGACCAGGACACCATCACAACATGACCGGGACACCATCAAAACATAACCGGGACACCGTCACAACATGAGCGAGACACCATCCCAACATGACTGGGACACCGTCACAACATGACTGGGACACAATCACAACATGACCGGGACACCATCAAAACATGACCGGGACACCATCAAAACACGACCGGGACACCATCAAAACATGACTGGGACACAATCAAAACATGATCGGGACACCATCACAACATGACCGCGCCACCATCACATGATCGGGACACCATCAAAACATGACCGGGACACCGTCGCAACACGACCGGGACACTATCAAAACATGCCCGGGACACCATCACAACATGACCGGGACACCATCAAAACATGACCGGGACACCATCAAAACAGGACCGGGACACCGTCACAACATGACTGGGACACAATCAAAACATGATCGGGACACCATCACAACATGACCGCGCCACCATCACATGATCGGGACACCATCAAAACATGACTGGGACACCGTCACAACATGACTGGGACACAATCACAACATGACCGGGACACCATCACAAGGTGACCGGGACACCAACATGACATGACGGGAAAACCATCACAAGATGAGCAGGACACCATCACAACATGACCGGGACACCGTCACATGACCCGGACACCATCAAAACATAACCGGCACACCGTCAAAACATGACCAGGACACCATCACAACAGGACCGGGACACCATCAAAACATGACCGGGACACCGTCACAACACGACGGGGACACCATCAAAACATGACCGGGACACCATCACAACATGACCGGGACACCATCAAAACAGGACCGGGACACCATCACAACATGACTGGGACACAATCAAAACATGATCAGGACACCATCACAACATGACCGCGCCACCATCACATGACCGGGACAC